AGGAAGAGGAGGAGGAGGAGGAGGAGGAGGAGAGGGGCTGGGGAAGGTTTGGGGTTCGAGCTTGGCTGCACACAAAGGAGCGAGCGGCTGAAGACGCTTGGGCGCCGGGAGCCAATCGCTGGCGCGGCCCCGCGATAAAAAGCGCTGCGAGGCGGCGGTGGCAGCGCAGGAAGAGGCTCCCGCTCCCACAACCCCGGCCCCTGCGGCGGGAGAGGGGCGGCCAAAGCCCCCCCTACACACACATCGGCACGGACCCTCCCTGAGCACCCCCCCGCCCCGCTCGGCATCCCCCCGAGGCGTATGGTGAGCCCGGGCTGCGGGAGAACAACGGGATGGGGAGGCGGCGGGAGAGACAATGATGGTCCCTGGAAAATGTGGGGGGTTCATCCATCCATCCATCCATCCATCCATCCATCCATCCATCCATCCCCACCGCGGGGGGCTCGGGGGGTGGGGGAGCTGGCAGGGAGGGGGGATAAGAGCGATGGGCGGGAGGCCGGGGAGAAAGGGATGGAGAGGAGGGAGGGAGGGATGCAAAGGCAGCGAGAGAACCCCGGGAAGCGGCACCGCTGGAGCCAACCGGGAGATGGGGGGGTTCATCCCCCCTCCCCTCGCCCCCCGGGCAGCCCCCCGGGAGGAGGAGAAGGAGGAGGAGGAGGAGGAGGAGGAGGAGGAGGAGGAGGAACCATCCGGGCGCACCGGGAACTTCCCGCTTTGGGAGGAGGCTCGGCCGAGGTGGTCGCGGGAGGAAGGTTTGATTTGGGGGGTGCCAAGGGGGGGGCTGTTCTGGGCCGGGGTCAGGTGGGGGCAAAGAGGCGCTGCCGGAGCTCCTGTTGGGGGGCGATGCTGTGGGAGAGGGGGGCGAGCCCCCCGTGCCCGGTGGGAGCCGGGGGGGCGAGGGGTTGGTCCCCTCCGGATCGAGCACAGGCCTGTGCTGGCTGGATCCGCTGCCAGGGGTGTCTGGGGATGCAAATTTGGGGGCTCCCCCTCCCCGTTCGGGCTGTAATTCGCTCTTTGTTGTGTGCTGCAGTACGAGCTGGACAGATCCATTTTATTAAGCTGATCAGAAAGAGCAGAGATGGAAGAAAAACCTGTTAGATCCCGACTCCCTTATCCCCCCCCTCGGTTAATGCCTGCTAATTCCCGATGGTGTGTCTCCTACCGCCTCCTCCAGCCTGGATTTAAACCTTTCCAGCGACAGGTCTTTCATCACTTCCCTGGGGAGGCTGTTGCATGACTGTGAGATTTAATAACAACACAAATGCCCCGAGCTCTGACATAACCCTTAACAGGCAGGGATCTCCCAGGGCTTCACAAAGGAGAGCAGCTCTGTTTTCACTGGGGAGGGGAGGGGGAGGGAGGAGAAAACAGAACAGAAAAAATTAAATTAATTGTCCACTGCCACTCAAAAAATTAGCAGCAGAGTTGGGAATCAAGCCCAGTTGGGTGCTGTAACTATCGTGTTTTGAGCCCTAATCCCCTTGGATCACTCGAAACCGGCTAAGCTACCTTGTAGATCCCATTTCTGATCGATTTTCTGCTGATTTTTGTTCACGGGGAGGGCCATCAGTTTCGGGAAAAAAAAACCCAACCAAACGCGATAATTCAGCCTCGAAAAGTGCGCTTTGTCCACCCAAGGCGTCGTGTGAGGGCTCTCGCAGGGGAGACATCTGGTGCCTCAGCTGAGCCCTCGTGCATTTAGGGCCAGGAGCAGCGAGCACATCTGCAGAATTATTAACACAGATCACAAAACAATTGCAGGGCAAGAGACCAGGCTCGGTCTGAGGCAGCCCCGGTGCCGATGCCCTTTTGAAATGGGAGAGGCAAATCCCCAGTTCCGAAGCGGGGCCTGTCAGAACCAACCCCTTGGGCTTTGCGAAGGCACTGGGTGCATCTTCTTTTTTTCTTTCTTTTTTTTTTTTAGCTCAAAACTAGGTTCCTGACCTTTTTTGGTCAACAAAACTCCCACGAGGCTTCTCATCAGGGAAGGGAGTTCCTCTTCTGGTTTCCTTCGGCGGGTCAGTCCCGTGAGGCTTCCACTCCCCACCAGGTCCCGTGTGGGGATGGAGTTCTTGTGTTCCTTTCCTCTCGCCCTCAGAGTTGTTGGCCATGGCCAGGCAGCTGTTTTTTTCCCCCCCTAGAGGTGCCTTCTGCCTTTTGGCCTCCCAGTGAAGTCATTTTTATGGCCATCTGGGGTGGGTTGCAGTGCTTACCTCGCTGTTGGCTGGAGCTCTGAGATGGAGAACGTTCAATCTGAATTTCAGAGCACTACACTGGGCTCCGTGGTAGATTGGATGCTAAAAGGGAGGATGGAGGGGAAGGCTGGAAAGAGGGCAGCTCACAAAGAATGATTTTTTGGAGAGATTTAACTACAATTAGGATTTTTAGTGGCTTTTTTAATTACACACTCTGCATTTGGACAGCAAACAGCAGCTCTTGTAGGGGTTGTGTGGAGGCAGGGACAGTGGAAAGGGGCTGTGCTGTGTTTTGGGGTGCCTGGAACAGGGCTTGCTCTTGCTGCATCTGCAGGTGGTGGGTAACAGGTGATTTTCCACGAGAGGCAATCAGCCAAAGTCACATTTACGGGTTTGTGTGTGAGGAAAGAGGAAATTACAGGCAATTAGAAATCCATTAATTGGAGCACAAGGAAAGGTTGGTTCCTAGAACAGGTCTTGGAAGAGTAATCCAAGATGTGGTGTTGGGAAGGAGAATAAAATGCTGGGTGGTTGGAACACAGATCATGTCAGGTTGGCTCAGTGTCTTCCTCAGATATCAAAAATGACTTGTGAAACAACAGGGCCTGGCGAGGCAGAGCCCCAAGGAGATGATTATTTTAGGTGGAGAGAGGACAGGGGAAAAAAGAGAGCAAAGTGGAAGGAGAACACCTGGCTCCAGATGTTTTCAGGGGGAGTTTTGTACCGGAATTCCGAGGAATTCTGAGATCCCCCCGCAGTGTGGAGAGGCCGAGTCAGCTCACCCAGGCCACCAAAGTGGGGGCAGAGAACAGGTTGAAAGGGATTGGCTCCTCCTGCTAAAAGCAAGGAATGTGATTTATCTTTGTGAATCCCACTGAGAGGCAAATCTGTGGTGGGAGAAGAACTGGGGGCTTAATGTGTGACGGTAAATGGATGTGCACTTATGTGGGGGAAACCAGGAGGGGAAGTTTGCAGGTGGAGCGTGGTTTATGGAGAGATAATGGAAAAGCTGGAAAGGGGAGGGGAAGGAGCAGGAGCTGCTGTTTGCCTGCTGTGCTTGTGTGCAGCAGGTCTGTCGTGCCCCTCCATCAGTGCCACCCTGCAGACCTTCTGAGGTTCCTTTTGCTTCGTGTCCAGGCTGAACATCCCAACCTGCAGTTTTTCTTCTGGCACTCCTGAGGGTTTGTTTCTGCCTGGAAAAGGTTCTTCTCATCCCCCCCCCAGCAGTGTTTTCTGCTCTAGCTGAGCTCCCAGGGAGCAGGCACTCCCTTCAGGCCGTGATTTTTAATGGATGCCATTAATCGTGGCCGTGATCCCAGGAACGAGCTGCTTCTGGAGAGCCAGTGAATCCCTGGAGCATCCTCCCAGTCCATCTTCCAGCCCAGTCCCCCCGGCCCTGGCCATTCCAGCTCCTCCCCAGGGGAGAGCAGCCGAGGCAGGGGTGAAGGTGGGTGGGCAGGGGCTTCCCTCGGGCTCCCCCCATTGTTGCCCTGACAAAGGCAGGCCTGTTCCTCCCCACAACCGTTCCTTGTCAGCATCCCTCAGCATTTGGGCTGCAGATTTCCTGCCCACTGGCAGCCTTTCAACAGGCAGCCCCGGGCACGGGACGTGGCTGGAAAGGGGATTAGAGGAGAGGGATGGTGGAAGGGTGTGCTGGGCCCTGGGGTGCATGGACAGGGCCACCCTCCCAGGAATGGGATGAGCAGGGGAGTGGTATTAGTGATATTCCCAGAATGTCCAGATATTCCTCCCCCTGGGGTCCTCCACCCTCCACCTGCCCTGGGTCCCAAATGCTGGTGAGGTCAAGCGGGTTGGCTCAAAGCCAAGACCTGGAGGTGAATGAAGGGTTTCCAGGGCTAAACCCGGAGCTGTGACCGCTGGGCTGGCTCCATCATCCCCCTGTGCCCCTTCCCTGGCACTGCTGGGCCGGTTCTGGCACTCTCCTGTTTGATGTTGGCTCTTCACACATTTTTGATTCACGGTGTGGGTCAACCGTGAGGCTGCAGAAACAGGGGGCAGATGGGCAGTGAGCTGGGTGATTCCCAGGCTCTGGAGAAAGGCTTTTCCCTCTCCTCTTCCCCTCCTGCTCACCCCGTCCTGCTGACAGGGATCATGGGCTGGGCTGGCTGTGGAGCTGCGGGGTCGGTGCTTGTCCTGCCTGAGTGGGTTTTGCTAATCCTGCCCCTGATCTCGGGCACATCCAGCCCCACATCCAGCCCCACTGCCCACATTTCCTGGGGGAAAGCCCCCCTGACAGCCCCTCCAAGGTGTGGAGCCCCTGGGGACACTCCGTGTCCTGGGGGGGGATGGAGGAGGAAGGGGCTCGGATCCCCCCCTACGCCTCGCTTTGCCTTTGGGAAAGCCCCTGCCGTGGTGGTGGAGTGATCCCTGCAGGAAACACACCCTTCCCAGGGCTGGAATGGGAACCAGATGGCAGAGAGGGGCCTCTGGCAGTCACGCTGCTTCCCCGGGCCGGAAACGCGGCGGCTGCCGGAGAGTCACGGCCAGAGCCGGGCTGGGGCCCACTGGGAGCTGCTGGGTGGGCACTGGGGGCACTGGGGGCAGCCAGGGTGACCCCACTGGAGAGGGGAAGGGGGGAGAGGCTCCCTGAACACGTCCTGGCCGTGGGAAACGCGATCCTTGGGAGGCACCTCGTGATGGGGGAGTTTCCTTGAGAGGCCACACCAGATGTTCCCTCTCTCTGCATCTGCCCCGGGGTCAGGCAGGGAGGTGAGAGGGGATGGGGAGGGGGCTGTTAGGGAAAAGCTCTGTGATGGAGAGGCTTTTGGGAGGAACGTTGCCCTCCTCCCTCCAAACTGTTCCCTGCTTGGAGCTCCAGCTGCTCCACACGGCAGCAGGCACGTGTGCCCTCTGGGTGCTGCACAAATTCCAACCCCGAGGTCCTGGCTCAAACACCAGCTCGCTGAGATCACCCAGGAAACCCCCAGAGCAGGACCAGCAGCTGCTGGTGGTGACCTGGGCAGCAGAACCGCCACACTGAGATCCACCTCCCTGTGCAGCCATCAGTGCTCCCAGCAGGAGCTGCTCCATCTCCCTGGGTAGATGGCAGGAGCCCAAGTCCCCTGGAGAAAGGTTTTATTGTCCACACCAGCCGCCAGTCGCTCCCAGGAGGGGCAGAAAGGACGGAGGCTGGAAGGGAAAGGGGTTCTCCCCTTGCCCTGAGCAGGTGGAAGAAATCGAGTGTTTATCACAGAGTCACAGCTGGTGTGGGCTGGGTAAGGGACCTCAAAGCTCATCTGGTTCCAACCCCCTGCCCTGGGCAGGGACACCTTCCACTAGGCCAGGTTATGGGGGATGGAGTGGGAAAACTGAGGGGCAGAGGGTGGCTGGGGTCGGGGAGGAGGATGGGCTGCGGGGGGAGAGGGAGGGAAGCAAGGGCTGGACGAACATTTGTGTCACGGGGTCGGGGTGAAGGTGAAAGGCAGGAGGGAAGGGGGAGGGTTGTGCATCTGTGTCAGATGTGTGGGGTGGGCACAGCGGGTTTTTGTGGGTTCCTCAGGTGCCCCTCTGGTCTGAGCTGGGCTGTGGCACCTGACAGACCCCGGGGGGGTGGAGGGAAGGTCCTGTCCCAAAGGATGGGAGCAGAGAGGGGCTGTGGGTTTGGGCAGCGGCCCCAGCAGGCTCTGGGTTCGGCAGCAGCTGCCTGAGAGAGCGCTGGGAGAGCAGGAAATAACAAGCAAACCGCAGAGGGACGGGAAATGAGCTGGGTAAAACAGAGCCGTGCCTCAGATGAGCTGCAAAGTGTTCGTGACGAGGGCTGTGCAGCCCCCCGGGGACGTGGCACAAAGGTCCCTCAGCCCTGGAAGCAGCCGCGAATTTTGGGTGCTTTGCAAGCCTGCTGTGAGCTGTTTGGTACCCAAAGAGCCCTCTCCCTTCGCACAACCCCCACGATTTGTGTGTGCAAAGCAGGGCTGATCTTCCCTGGGTGTTTGTTTTGAAGGTAAAGTGTGGCGGGGGAAAAAACCCTGAGGAGCTGTCAGTGCCTTTTCAGCTATTTGTTTTTTTTTTTTTTTTTACCAAAAGAGGTGATTTGCAGTGCTGGTGGTTTTGTTTCAGTGCCTGTCCCTGTCAGCCCCATCCTCAGGGCGCTCAGCACATCACACGAGGCTCACAGGGCTCAGCCTGAAGGTGACGTGGGTTCCCCAGGGAAGACACAAAATCCCCATCACTCGCTCTGCTGAGCTGTGATCAGCGAGACTTTTCTGGGCTAAAATTAGACTGAAATCACAGTCCTTCCTCCAGTAACACCAGCCCTTTAGTGGCTGCTTTAGTGAAACAGGGGGCATGGGTTTTGCTGCCTCCACGTGTGGGTTTGGAGCAGAAGCCATCCCATCACCTTTGCTCATGTTCCCAGCAGTCCCCTTCCACTAGCCCAGGGTGTTTAGAGTCCCAAACTCTCCAGCTTCCTCTCACAGCATTCCAGACTCTCATCTCCTGTCTGTTGGTCCATTCTGGTGTTCCTGAACCTCTTGGCTCCCTCCAGAACCCCCCAGACCAACGAGGCCTCTCTGAGCCCGCAGAGAAAGCCGAGCACCCACCACGTCCTGCAGAGCTTTTGGGGGTGATGAAACCAATCCCGCTGCTGTCAACATTTCCTTCCAGGTGTTGCAAGAAGCCTGTCTTAGACACCTCCCCGGGGGAACATCGACCCACAGACCTCAAGCTCGGGCCTAGAGAGACGGAGGAGGGGAAGGAGCCATGTTCCAGGCCGCGGGAGCCGCCAGCCCACCCCCCACCCACGTACGTAGATCCCTGTGGGAATCTCGGCCCGGTTTTGGTTCTCAGGGAGGGAGGGCTGTGCACAGGAGCTGTGCTGCTGGCCTGACACCTCGGGGTGATCAAAGGCACGGCCACTGCTGCTCAAACAGCAGAGTTTGGGGACAGGAATGTTCCAGCAGAAGGTGCTGTTCGCTGAGCACGCTCAGGGCTCGGGTCCATCAGCAGCTCTCACCCCGCTCTCATCTCCAGTTGCCTCTGTTTGTTTGTGTTTCCATGGCTTTCCGTGAGCACAATTGAGAGCGTTCGAGCCGCTTAGGACCTCAGTGATTGGAAAATCATAAAGGCTCAAGAACATCTCCTGCTGGGACAGGATACGGCCCTTCCCCGAGGGGAGATCTATCAGATAGGGAAGAGATGTTGAGCCTGCTCCGGGGCCAGGAGGCTGCCGAGAAGTGCCGAGCCGAGCCGCGGTGGATTGCTGCAGCCTCGGGAACGGATGTGTCCCAGCTCCAGAGGGGCAGTGTCTTCCTTAGCTCTGGCTCAGCTGAGCCTGGAAACTGGCACGTTAAATCCCAGCCCCGGGAGAGCACCCGCGGTGGTTCTGCCACTGCCAGGGGATGCAACTGGTGTTACACAGCCCGGCTGCCCCTGTCCCACTGCTGACTTTGGCTCCTGCCCCCAGCCTCGTGGGAGGCAGAGGAAAATCACGTCCCTGACCTCAGTCGGGGAGAGCAGCTGGGAAACGTCTGAGGAGGCAGCTCGGCCAGGGGAGAGCTTCCTGTGCGGCTCTCTCGGACAAACTGTTGCCAAAAATAGGGAGGAGGAACGATGGGGAAGGGCAGAGAGGGAGGAACGGGGAGTGGGGGATCAGCCTGGGGGCAGGCAGGGGTAGCACTGGCCAGGCAGGGCCAAGCACAGCGAGGGGGAGGACAAGGACAGTGGGGGTGACATCCTGGGGTGACATCCTGGGGTGACAGTGCCCCGACCCTGGCAACAAGCAGTGCAGAGGGTGGGTGAGCCAGCCCTGTGATGGCCTCTTTGATCCCAGCAGTTTGAAGGAAGGAGGGAGAATTTCCACCAGTGCAAAGGCGGGTGAAACACTCCCAGGTGCAGTCAGTGTGGGGAGGGTGAGGAGGGGAGCAGGGTGGGGGATTTGGGAAGAGAGGAGCTGTTGCAGCTGCAGATGAAGGAGCATTTACCAAGGCCCTGCCCTGAAATCCCAGGGCACAGGTAGAGGCACCTCCCACAAGCTGCAGGACCCCATGGTCAGTTCTGGCCTTACCCTCTGCCCTCCCCACACCCCCTGAGCCTGCAGGGCCTCAGAGGCGTTTCCTGCACAGCAGCAGCAGCAGCAGCAGCGTGAGGGGCTGGTAACAGGGCAGGGAAACTCAGATACCAAACATCTGCCCAGGGGGAACAGCACAGGAGCTGCTGTTATTCCTGAGGGATAATGTGAGTCCCAAGACTCACCGTGGTGGCACTGGGCAGCCCAGGACAGTGATCAGTGCCTGCAGGTGGTGAGGGACAGGGGACAGTTCTTACCCTGCTGTGACATCTGGATCCATGTGTGGGTGCTGCTGCCACCACAAAACAGCTCTGCTGTAGCTGGCCATGGAAAACACAGAGCTGTGCTGTGATCCTGTTGGATAAGAAAACAGGCTGCTCTGCCCCTGGCAGTTCCACAGCTGCCTGGTGCTTCATTCCTTCTCTGCAAAATGTCCATGGTTTTCCCTCCTTCTCCATTTCCCTCTCTTTCTTCTCTCTTTGGGAAGAGCCCCACAGCACAGGCAGCAGCTCACACACCAGGACCTGACAGATGTCGTGGCCCCTGGGCAAGTGAGTTCAGGGCTGGTCACCGTGCTGTGACAGGGGCTGGTGTGCCCCGGGGTCCTGCAGAGCAGCTGCCTGTGCCAATCCTCCTCCAGCACAGCTCAGTGTCAGGCCAGGCTCTCATTTTGATGTCTCTTCTCCTTCCCTTTTCAGGAGGCAAAGAGCAGCTCAGGAGGCAGCACAGTGCAGCGCTCCAAGGTACCTGGGATTTTACATCATCTACAGTGGGTTGGGTTGGAAGGGACCTTAAAGATCATCCAGTTCCACCAGCCCAGGTTGCTCCAAGCCCTGTCCAACCCAGCCATGGACACTCCCAGGGATGGGGCAGCCACAGCTTCTCTGTGTCAGTGCCTCATCCTACTGACTCATGGCAGGGGGAGAAGGACCAAAAACCCCAAGCCCAAGCACCAACCCAGCCCAGCATCAGTGGGGTGGCCCAGGGAGGGGGACACGAGGCTGCTTCCCGCTCACCAACGCTCCAGGAGTGTCAGCACAAATACCAGGGCAGAGGGCTGTGATGGGAATCCCACGGGGTTTCCGTGGCACGGGGAATCCCACACTCCTTCCTGATCCTTTTGTCTCCCTCTGGTGTCCCCTTGGCCAGTCGTTCAGCCTGAAGGCTCAGGTGAAGGAGATGTGCTCTGCCTGCCAGAAAACCGTGTACCCCATGGAGCGGCTGGTGGCCGACAAGTTCGTCTTCCACAACTCCTGCTTCTGCTGCAAGCACTGCCACGCCAAGCTCAGGTGAGCCAGGCTGGGCCCTGTGCTGGGACAGGTGTCCCCACAGCTCTGCTGCTGGGGGAAACCCTTCCAAACTCTGCACCCCCCTCCCATATCAGAGCTCCTCGCTGGTGCCTAAAGAAATGTTTATCTGGCCCCCCCTGCTCCCAAATCTCAGCTAAATCCCACCTGGCATGGAAGGGGAGATGCTTCCCCCCTGAGAGCATCCTCAGGGTAACACGGAGCTGAGGCAGAGCCCCCTCCCAGAGAGAGGGACCCCTCCTCTTTACAGACCTGCTCACAGCAGCCCCCACCATCCCTCACTGGCTGGAGGGAGCGGCTTTGCCCTGTCTAAGGGTCTCCTCCTGCACTTTCCCACCTCTTCCCCGAGCCCCAAAACCCCCGTGCCCGTCTAACTCCGCCCTCCCCCCCGCAGCCTGGGCAGCTACGCCGCGCTCCACGGCGAGTTCTACTGCAAGCCCCACTTCCAGCAGCTCTTCAAGAGTAAAGGCAACTACGACGAGGGCTTCGGGCGCAAGCAGCACAAGGAGCTGTGGGTGCACAAGGAGGTGGAGAGCGGAACAAAGACGGCGTGAGCGGGGCCAGCCCCGCCCCGCTGGATTCCAGCAGAGCCCGAGCGCGCTGAGCCCGCACGAACTGAGCTGATGGGAAGCAGGACCTGGGGGAGGGAAGGGATGGGATGGGAGGGGGGAGCAGCCACCCTGCTTTGGGGATGCTCAGAGGGGTCCTGCAGGTCGTCAGGACAGGGCAGAAGTGACGGGGTGCAGCCCCCTGACCCGAAGCCCTCTCTCTTCAGGCCCCTCTGCCCCGTGAGATCAGACCAGAAGCACTTGTCCCATCCCATCCCATCCCATCCCCCCCCCCCACTCTGGGACCCCCAACCCTGTTCATGGAAAAGGAGATGATCTGGGGGGCTTAACCAGCTTGTGAATCACTGCAGAGCTCCACCCCCTCCCTCGGATAACGAGGCTCCTTGGTTTGCATCAGCTCAGTTCAGCCGGGGTGGCTCAGCCTCCTGCCCTGCGACTGTGTAACAGTGTCTTGTCTTTTTTATATTTGCCTTCCACCGGTACGTCGTGCTCCGGGAGCCCCGCGGCGGCTCCGCCTCGCACTGCGCCAGGCGCTCTTTTATTTTTGTAATACAAGGTTTCCCAGCCTTCCCGGCCTCGTCCTGTACTCCCGGGGTGTCTGGGGAGGTGGGGGGGAGGAGTGGTCAGACCCCCTCTGGCTGCCCTGATGATGTGGAAAGAGCCTCTGTCCGTGCGGGATAAAGGAATTATTGCTGGGTGGTTGGGAGTAATAATAATGTGGCTGAGGTGGGGAGGGAAGGAGGGAGCCCACCTCTCTTTTCAGAGGGGTCCTGCAGGCCACAAGGGGCAGAGCTAACAGGGTTGCAGCCCCCAGACCAAAAACATTCTCTCTTCAAGCCCCTCTGCCCCCTGAGATCAGACCAGGGGACCCCCAAGTCTTTGGGAGAGCAAACCCAGGATTTCAAACTGCACCCCAGTGGATCCACCCCATATCCAATTTTTGGACAGCACAGTCCATACAAATTAATAAGCCCAGCAAGCCCTGCCAGGTGGGACAGCCAAATGCAGGAAAAAACGGGGAAAGTGGGTGAGTCGGGTTTTAATTATTTACCTCCGTCCTCCACCCACGGGTTTGTAAGATCAGATTGAAAGAGAAAGTGTTTAGGAACCCCATGTCTTTCAAATTCTACAGAAATTTGGCTTTTCAGAGCCCCCCTAGCAGAGCCAACAGCCCGTGACAGCCCCTGTTCCATCAGTGACTGATACCATCAGCTCCAGAGAGCACGTCCTGTCTGGGAAAACCCAGACACAGCCACGGAAAGGGGAGATGAGGATGGAAGAGGGAGAGAGATGGGGATGGTTTGTCCACAGGAGGAAAGGATGGCACACAGGAGCCTGACGTTGGACAAGTTATTTCCCTTTTTTTTTTTTTTTTTTAACTGAAGGGCTTTTTAAAGGGCTCCTGGGTGGGATTCACAGGACCAGGACCAGCACAGCGGGGCTGGTGATGCCGCCGGGTTGGGGCCCCTTCCTTCCTAAGCCGGCCCCGAAAATGAAAGCAGAGCTCTCTGTTCCTCTTCCTGCCTCCCTGAGCAGGACCAGCAGCATTTCCCGCTTCCCGAGGGACCTGCCCACAGGGAAACCCCGGTGGTGACACACTCAGGGAGATGCTTTGAGCTCATCTTATCTCCCATACATTCCAGAGGTGCAATTGCACAAATGGCCCTGCAGATTTCCCCGGAGGGATCAGAAGCAGCACTACAGAAAGTCCAGCTTAAAACGGCTCCCGACTGGGAGGTTTTGGCAAGACAAATTAAAAAAGAAAAAAAATTACCCCCCCCCCAAAAACGTTGTTCCTTTGTCTCTAAAATTTAGCTAAAATCCAGCTGGTTTTATGATGAGAGCAGAACCCTCCTTTCCAAATTCCCACCCCCAAGCAAGCTTCTGGATAACACTCACAGAAAACTTTCTGACTTCTCATTGCACATTCTCCTTTCAAATCTCCATCTCTAAGCACAAGGTCCTCTCAGCCTCCCTTGACCAGCAGTTCCATCTGCAGGGATGGGATGTTCAGACTCCACATCTGGGGTAAGATTTGCAGAGCACAAGAATTCCAGCCAGCAGGTTCATGTTAAAAAAAAGCTGGTTTTTGGGAAAAAAAAAATGAATCAGTAAGAATCCATATAAATCCATATACATCCATACCATCCAGATGTCCAAGAGCACCAGGCAGGGATCAGAACATGAGAGAGAATCGTGCCAGCATTTCCTGGATAAAATATAATGCAACTCCCCCTCCACTCTGCCAATATTAAATCCAGAATTCATCATTCCTGGTTCAGACTTTGCTGTCCCAACACAGAGAGCCCCAGCAGCGCAGCACAGCCCACCTCTGCAGAGATGATTTAAATTCCATTTGCCTCAGAAGTGGATTTGGAGAGAGAGAACTCACCTTAAGTCCTTCCCTTGGGCCACAAATCACAAGAAATAAAAAGGTAGTCGAGGGGTTTTGCTGCATTTCCTTTGTGCTTCAGGCAGCGTTTTGGGGCTGATCATTTCTACCTTTGAGGCTCCAGGTATTTTTTTTTGTTCAACCACCACATGACAGGTGGGATTCTCAGGGTGTCTCGTGCAGGGCCACGATGATCCCCGTGGGTCCCTTCCAGCTCAGGAGATTCTGTGGGGAAGATTCCAGTCAGGAATGCACTCTCTGGATTCTCTGGGAAGCAGAATTACTGTGGAGCTACTTATTTTTGAGGGGGGTGAGCAGGAGGGGAGCCCAGGAGAAAAGCAGACCATCAGACAAGGCTGAGAGGTGAGTCCCACGTTCACAAAGCAAATATCACCAGAGAACACCCCAGGTGGAAAAGAGGGAAGAACTCACTCAGGTGAAGGTAACAAAGAAGTCCCAAGTTCCTCCTTCAGCAAAGGCAGGGTTTGTGGGTTCTAACACGCAGGGAGGGTGTCAGGAGGCAGCAGGAGGTGGTTTTTTTCTGGTTCCACGAGACATTTTTCTTCTGGGATGACTCCACTTGATGGTTCTCATCTGTCCTGGCACAGCCCCAAGCCCCACACACGTGCTTGGCTCATTGAAGGGTTTCTGTTGCATCAGCTGGTCAAGCCCTTAATCCTGATTTGTTCACATTTCCCATGGACAAACATTTCAGTTTTTAACTGACAACAACCATGGCCTGGGAAAAGGATCAGGGACAGGCTGTGGTCAGGGCTGGGGAGGCCTGAGTTCCTCCAGGGACTCTGGTGACACTCAGGCACTGATCAAGTGATGGTGACACCCAAGAGGAAAAAAACCCAGCTGGAAAAAACCAGAGCCTGGAAATCTCTGGAGATGTGGCTCCTCATTCTCTTGCCCTGCTCAGGGGAGGGCACGCACTCACCTGACCCAAGGGGTGACATCACAAACAGGACACTTCTCCATCTGTCCCAAGGGAAAAAACTCCAAAAAAGAAAAACTTCCTCCTTCATTTAAGATCCCTGGTGGGAAGGAAAACCAGTTAATGGCTTTATTGACTTATCCTGAGGGGCACCACTTCCACAGGAGTAAGAGACACTGGACTGCAACAACCACCAGCAGCACAGGCTTTCATATAAATGATAATTTTATTGTAAATAAAACGATACATTGGCCTGGCTTTGCACTGCAAGCCCCCGGTCGGAATATAGAGACTACTGGGTCAGGGTCTTCTGCACAATCCAGGTTAAAGCCATTTCTCCCTGCTCTGCACCATTTATGGGGAGAATAAAACCCCCTCTTTCACCTCTGAACCGTCCCAGTCCCTGGGACCTCACTCAGCTCCCCTTTGCCCACCCAAAGCCATGTTTACACAAGAGGAATGTGGGTGTTTGTGGGGCAAGTTATCCCAGCTCTGGGCACTTGGAAATAACAAGTGTCACCTGAGCAGGGACCAGTTTCCCCCATGGGCAATTTGTGTTGGTGATGAATTAATTAACGGCAGCAGGAGCCGTTTGGAGCATCGAGTCCTTTGGAATATTACTCCAAAAAATAAAAGAAATCCAAATTGCTGCAGCCTACTGCCACTAGAACGGGCAAAGCTCAGATCTTCTGGAGAGCAAGCAGATAACCTGGAATGCACAGAATCGTCACACCAAGCCCCAAATGCCACCTGTTTGTTCCCTAACAAACTCAGGGACAACCAAATCCCCCGAGTTCCTCTCTGCTGGGAGTCTCAGACACTTTTCTGCCCAGTTTCAGGACATTGGGACTCTCTGTCAAACAGAATATCCTCCATTTCTGCAGCACCTTCCATCGAGGATCCCAAAACTCAACATTCCCTGTGTTATCCCTCCCTG